ACTTGTCCAAACCACTGTCCCTCCTCTGGACATGTCCAAACCACTGTTCCTCCTCTGGACTTGTCCAAACCACTGTCCCTCCTCTGGACATGTCCAAACCACTGTCCCTTCTCTGGACATGTCCAAACTACTGTCCCTCCTCTGGACATGTCCAAACCACTGTCCCTCCTCTGGACATGTCCAAACCACTATCCCTCCTCTGGACTTGTCCAAACCACTGTCCCTCCTCTGGACATGTCCAAACCACTGTCCCTCCTCTGGACATGTCCAAACCACTGTCCCTCCTCTGGACATGTCCAAACTACTGTCCCTCCTCTGGACACGTCCAAACCACTGTCCCTCCTCTGGACATGTCCAAACCACTGTCCCTCCTCTGGACATGTCCAAACCATCTCAGTGTGTCCTCTCTAACTTTATCTCCCAGTTGTTCAACCTGTGCTGTACCTCTGATGATCTCATTCCTGATCTTCTCCATCCTTGTCTCTCCTAAGGAGAACCTCAACATCTTCATTTCTGTCACTTCCAGTTCTGTCTCCTGTCTTTTTGTCCATGTCTCTGTCTCCAGACCAGACAACATAGCTGGTCTCACCACTGTCTTGTAAACTTTTCCTTTGATCTTTGCTGACACCCTTTTGTCTCAAATCACTCCTGAAACTTTTCTCCATCACTCCATCCTGCCTGGACTCTCTTCTTCTCCTCTTCATCACACTCCCCATGTTCCTGGACAGTGGACCCCAAGTCCTTGAAGTCCTGCACCTTTGTGACCTCTGCTCCTTGTAGCCTCACTGTTCCACCTCCTCCCTCTCATTCACACATGGACTCTGTCTTACTACGGCTGACTTTCATTCCTCTTCATTCAAGTGCATACCTGCACCTCTCCAAGTTCTCTTCCACCTGTTCCCTGTTCTCACCACAGATCACAATGTCATCTGCAAACATCATAGTCCACAGTAGAGTTGCATTCGGACCTAAAAAAATTCCAACCTGGTCTGGCCCAAGCCCGTTGTTTGTTTTTCCAAACCCGATCTGATCAAATTAACTGTAATTACAGGTCCGAACCCGAAAAAAACTGACATTTTTTAAATTAAGCTTTTGCTACTTTTGTAAGCAAATCAGTTTGACATGATATTTTCAAAACGTATTTCAAAAAAAGAAATATCAGATTTCTTGTTTTCACCAACTGGATATTAACAAACAAAATGCCTAAAAACATCAACTGTAAAGATCGGCTATTATACAGATGAACAAGAACTTTTTCAGAACAAAATTATTTGGACAAATATAGACCAAGGCTGTTTTAACTGAACGTGTTTCGGCTGTTGTAGCTGCTGCTACTTCCTTCACTGCAGATGACTGCAGGTGTGGAGACGCACGCGGCCGGTGATCAGCTGATCCATCTGAAGCGTAACTGGACAATTTTTACCTCTTTCAACCGTCTGGTCGGACCTACCTCCTCCTCAACAAGTAGATTAACACAATTTTATATTGTTTTTATTTAGTTTTATATCATAGAAGCCCGAGCCGACATGCGCAATTATTGTGCAATGCGCTAGCAGCAGCGCTACTCTCCTTTAATTTCTGGGAGAAGTGGCCATCACTCGAGAAGGCGTTCTGCCCGGCATTCAGGCAGTCCTGCTACCCAAGAGGATCGAGAGGTCCCATGGATCTGGGTGGACGGATCGGCATCTGCAGCATTTCTTCAGATCTGCTGTGGGACGAACTGCTGCAGATCCTTCCTGCCCAAAGCCATCAGCTTCCATAAGATAACAACTGTTAATGAAACCAGGATGATGAGCTCCAACAACAATAATTAATTTCATTTCCCTTTGGGATTAATAAAGTATTTTTGAATTGAATTGAATTGAATGTGCCATTAACATGATATACAGACTGGTGTTCTACAGACCTGTATATACATTAAAGTGTTAGAAGTGTACCAGATGGACGGATGTGTGCATCTTGAATTATGTACAGTATAGTGTATAAATACAATGTACAGTGGTATGTACAATGTGAATACTGTAGTACAGTTTAAAATAAGAGGAGAGATTGTGTACGGTTAAGGAGTGACCAAGTTCAATAGAGACACTGGGGAAATAGCTGTTCCTTAGTCTGCTGGTTTTGGTCTGGACGCTCCTGAAGCGCCTGCTGGAGGACAAGCTGGCAAATACTTTATGGGCAGGGTGAGAGGAGTCCTTGAGAGCACTGCAAGCTCAGTGCAGAAGCGTTTCCTCCGGACGTCTGCGGTAAGTGGAAGTGGAGACTCTATGATTCATTCAACCTTTAATTATACAGGTCAGTTCCCATTGAGCCTCAGGGACTCATTTACAAGAGAGACCTGTTACAGACAACATACAATGACCTCATAATACATTTATGCATAGGAGGTCAACAAGGAGATCACTTTAATCAGTTTACTGTATTTACATTTTAGTTTCTGTGGGGCACACTCAGGGTGAATGTTGAATCAAAACGGCAAAAATTATGGCACAGCTTGTCATCTGATTACGATCAAAACTTTATGAAATAAATCATGGACTACTTGTAAGCCACTTTTTTCACACTTGTGGTCTGGATTACCTGATGATGCGCTGGACTGTCTTCGCCACCTGCTGCAGTGCCTTGTGGTCCATCACAGTGCAGTTCTCAGACCATACGGTGACATTACTGGTCAGGATACTCTCTGTCACACAGCAGTGAAAGTTCACCAGGACAGCCATGAAAAGGTGGTGTTTCTTCAGTGTTCTCTGGAAGAAGAGGCGTTGGTGAGACTTCTTGACCAGGCTGGAGGTGTTGGTGGTCCAGGTCAGGTCCTCTGAGATGTGGATCCCCAAGAACTTGAAGGTGGAGACACGTTCAACAGCAATACTGATAATGTGGATAGGGTCATGCGTGCGTCCTCGCACCCTCCTGAAATCCACAATGAGCTCCTTTGTTTGTCTGGTGTTAAGGAGCAGATCGTTATCAGCGCACCATGTGACCAGGTGCTGTGCCTCCTCTGTAGGATGTCTCATGCTTGTTGCTGATGAGGCCAATCACCGTGGTGTCGTCAGCGAACTTAATGATGGTAGTGGATCCATGCACAGGCTTGCAGTCATGGGTGAAGAGGGAGTAGAGGAATGGGCTCAGCACACAGCCCTGTGGTACACCTGTATTGAGTGAAGAGTAGCTGAGGCCTGACTTACCATGCTGAGGTCTGTTGTTTAAAAAGTCCAGGATCCAGTGACAGAGGGAGGTGTTACCAAGTCTCTAAGTTTAGGCAGGTTTTACAGGATTGAACGCTGAGATGAAACCAATGACAGCAGACGTGCAGATGTGGTGTTATTGTCCAGATGTGTACGTATACACTGCTGCGCTGTGGAGACTTCTTCCGCTGAACTTTTATTACAGCTGTAGGCAAACTGATTTGGGTCCAGAGTGGGTGGCAGGCAGCTCGTCAGGTGTGCCTGACGCACCTACAGGGAGGTAGTCGTTCAGACCCGGTGGGCTGCAGTGTTTTGGCGCTGGTACAATGGCGGTGGTTTCAAAGCATTTTGCTAAAGCTGCTAAGACGAGAGACGGACTGAAGGTATTTGTAGGTTCCTTTGAGCTGCTCTGTAAGCCAGGCACCCAGGATGCCATCTGGTCCATCAGCCTATGGAGGCGAGTGTGGGGGTTGGTCTACAGAGGGTCTGTTCTTGGTAGCAGTCTCTTTGTTGTCTCTGTCAAAGCCAGCACAAGTCGTTGAGCTCGTTGAGGAAAGAGATAGTTTTTCACTCAACCTTTATTTAAACAGGTTGGTCCCATTGAGCCACGAGGACTCATTTACATCTGCAGTTGTCAGGGTGGACTTGATGGGTTTGTAGACGCTGATGGTCGGGACGCCCTGCCACATGTCTGGTTTGGAGTTAACAAAGTCTTCCTCCATGTTCCTCTACCTTTAGCTTGTAGCAGTGCTAGAGGTCAGAGGTCAAAGTTAAGTAGAAACTATTCAGGACCAGGGACTAGGAACTGTGAGAAAACCTGAGAAGGTCTGGAGAACTTCAGATCCAGACCTGTTTAGCTGAGAGGACCTGCCTGAGTCTTTTAATAAAATCACTTTTCCTCATCTCTGCTCTTCCTGTCGTCCTTTCCAGAGGCAGGTCGGGTCAAGTGGCTCTTCATGAAAGCCAGAGTGGCCTTGGCGGTGGCTGTAATAAACAGCAAGCCCCCCGGCACCAGCGGCTGGGACCACTGCGAGGTCTTGGCCCGCACACTGAGGAGGCAGGACAACGGGTGGAAGGAGAAAGTCCGGGAGCTGCAGCAGGAGGTGCTGAGGCTGCGGCAGGAGCTGCTCGTCACCGGGGTGACGTCCAACACAAAGAGCAGCTCGGAGGTGGCAGGTGGGCCTTGGTTCAAACGCAAGACTCTTTAACGAGGGGGGGCTCGAGGTCTCGGTACATTACAGGTTCTCCCTGGTTCTGGTCCTCCTATGGGAGGAAGGAGGACCAAGATGTTCCGTTTGATTAAAGTGTAGCACAAAGAAAACGGACTTGATGTTCCTCCCAGAAACTCTTTGTCTCAATCCAGACCTTACGTTGGGTGAAGGAATGCTTGTCGCCCGCCGCCCCCCAGGCCAGAGTTTTAAACCAGAACCACGTAAGACCAAAGGACATTTGGACTCGAGCTGTCGGTCCCGTTTTGAACAATCTAGAACAAAACTACACGACAATCTAGTTGTGTAGTTACGTAGAATTATTACTTCTGTGAAAACGAATGCTTAGTGCAGAAGAACTTGCTGAAAAACAGCTGAAATTAGCTAAAAAACATTCTGAATTTTAGCTGAAAAGGAAGAACAAGCCGAAATTAACAAAAAAAATCAGAACACATATTTGCTGAATTAGGCTTAAAGAAGCAGAAATGAGCACAAAAAATGGAAAATAGCTAAAAACAGCTGAAATTGGCAAAAAATAGCAGAAAATTAGCTGAAAAAACAGAAAGAAACTTAAACTACCAGAAGGAAGCAGAAAAAGCTGAAAAGAGCTAAAAAAATGTGGATCTAGCTGGAAAAGCTAAAATTAGCATGAAAACGTCTAAATAGTAGCTGTAGTAACAGAAAAAGCTGAAAGGAGCATAACAAGTTCATTCGTACTCAAATTCTCACACAGACTCATGTTCGTGCTGCTGTTGGGCGTATTGTTTTTATACTATTACTATTATATTATATACTATTATATTATATTATATACTATTACTTATCGTTTCGTTTCACACTTTGTAATGGTGATATTTTTCATGTAACTGGGACCATGAGCACACAATGTCATTCCACCTCATGCACCACATGTGGTGCGAATGACAATAAAACCAACTTGAACTTGAAGCTGAAATTAGCAAAAAGAAGTTAGAAGAAGCACAAGAATGTTGTAGTTAGCAGACAGACCCTGAAAGGAGCGCAAAACAGCTGAAAAAGTTTAAATGTGCAGCAGGAAGCTGAAAGAAGCCGAAACAGAACCAAATGTAAAAGGTTGTAAACACATCTAAAGATGTGAAGGATGAGCTCAATTCATTTTCTTTGAGGAAAAAATGGCAGAAAAGGCTAAAATTTTCAAAAAGCTAAATTTGCACCAATACCAAAAGTCACAGCGGGATTGTCCTGAAAGAGCCGAACGTTTTGATTCATGATTTGTGGAAATAGCACAAAAATTGTGGAATGAGAAAAATGCTGAAAAACGTCCAGAAGAAAACTGGATCACAATAGAGTGAATGCTTCATAAACATTCACACTATTGTTAGAAAACGTGTTTAAAATGTGTTTATGGTTCTAGAACTGCTCCGCTCCAGGTGGCTGCATGTTGGAGCAGCTCTACTACTTTCATTCTGAGATTTTGCTTTTGGAAACTTTAATTCCTCTTTTTCTGGATGTAAATCACATTTTTTGGATGATTGTTTCCTCTGGTATCAGATGCTGTGCAGCTGGAAGGATTTTTACTGAAACTTTTTTAGTTTTGGACATTTGTTATGATGTGTAACCATGGCAACAAGGCAGTTTTCTACAACAGCAGCTGATTAACATCTCAGAAGATCAAATAATATCTCAACTACAGCCCCAAATCTCAAATGAGTTGAAAGGATGTTCTGTGGATGCATTCTCATCAACCTGCCAGCTGTGCTCGAGTGCCTGACCACTGAGATCCTGGAATTAGCAGGAAACACGGCTCATGACAGTGGAAGGACAGGATCGTCCCTCGGCACCTACAGTTGGCTGTCCGCAGCGACGAGGAGCTCGGCAGACTGCTGGGAGGAGTTCTGCTCTGCATTCAGGCGGTCCTACAGCCCGAGGGGAACCGAGAGGCCAGCTGAGTCTGGGTGGACGGATCAGACAGCATCTGCAACCAGTTTCTTAGGATCCACTGTGGGATGGACCTTTACAAGAGATCCTTCCTGTCTACAGCATCAGCATCTATAACATCTCTTAATGAAATGAGAATAACGCGTTACTACAACAAATAATTTCCCTCTGGGATTCATAAAGAATTATTGAATTGAATTAACTTCCACATTATGTGGCTTTAAGACAAAGCACACCCGGGGTGGGGGGGTGTACTTTTACAAATTGCTGTGTAATCCTTGGAAGCAGGCGGGGCCGTCTTTTATTTTGAAACAACATAAATCACCACACAGATGTAAATAATGTGGCCATAACGGCTCGTGAGAAACATTTTTCCTCCGGAGTGTAAAAGGCCCGAGGCTGCAGGGAGACGCTTTAGAGCTAGGAGCGTAAAATCAGATCCATTCTTCTTGAGAATAGAGGTTCTGACTCCTGCGAGTTTGATTTTCAGGCCAAACATTTGTTTTTAGAGCCTGAAAGCACGTCACAGTTTCCTAGCGCCCCCCAAAAATGAGATAAATATTTCTTTAGCTTTGTCGGCGCCTGTGAGAGGCAATCTGCAGCACGGCTGAAAGATGTATTTGTATGAAAATGGCCGCGCTCCCGTCTGGACCTCTGCCTTTTTACATTCCTTCAGCAGTCCTGCAGCACCATAGCAACGATCGTTTTCCTCCGGAGAAAATCACATGGAGGAAATGTGAAAGTGTAATTTAGCACAGTGTTCCCTGGGTGTGGGAAGTGTTTCTCCGGAGGTTTGATGCTGGTGAGGAGTCGTTTCAATTTGCAGATGGACGACACGGCGCATCAGACATGTGGAGCTTGTGTTTCATGAGACGCCAGGCGCCGTTAGAGCTGCCGGGTTGATTTTAACAAAGAACACGGAGGAGGTACAGACAACAACAGAGAGACGTATAATAAGCATATAAAATGAAAAGTAAATGGAAGAAATTATGTAAAGCTGAACAAAAACAGCTACGTTGTAAAGAGATATACTAAAAACAAGAACGTGTCTGCGTTGGCAGCACGGTGGTGCAACGGGTAGAGCTGCTGCCTCTCAGCGAGCAGGTCCCTGGTTCAAACCCCGGTCCAGGGGCCTTTCTGGGTGGAGTTTGCATGTTCTCTCCGTGCATGCGTGGGTTTTCTCCGGGTGCTCCAGTTTCCTCCCACAGACCAAAAACATGCATGTTAGGCTGATGGTGACTCTAAATTGTCCCTAGGTGTGAGAGAGAATGGTTGTTTGTCTCTGTTGTCCCTGTGATGGACTGGAGACCCGTCCAGGGTGTCCCCCGCCCCTCGCACAGTGATTGTTGGACATGGGCACCGTCGACCCTCGTGACCCAAAATGGAAGAAGTGGGTAAAGATAATGGATGGATGGATGTGTTGGTTTTTCCAGGAACTTAACAGATGTTTGACGCCACTTAGAGAGGTCAAGGTCGAGAGCTTCAGATATCCTGATGCTGCTCAATAATCCAGGTAAAAAATCTAAAAAAGTTCAATCTGGTCCTCTGGACATTCAAAAAACAAATGAAACAAAACAAAAAAAATATAGAAACGTTTCATCTTCCATCCTGAGGACTTCCTCAGTCTGAGGTGCTGTATTCAGCTCAGTCTCTTAAATAGCACCTTCTCAGAGTGGATCAACCAGTTTTGCTGCTGACAACCAGAACCAGCTGCTCACATGATCAAGAAGGACCATCAGCCTAACAATGGATCATTAGCACCTGATGGCTGTTTACTGTTCACAGAGGGCTGAGTGATACTAGCAATCACAGCATTGTAAGAGGGGGACAGTTGAACCTGGAGGCTCCACCCCTGTTTAATGATGGACGGTTTCTTTTCACAAAGATGGCCTCCTTTACTCCTCTCTCAAACCATCGTTCCTCTCTGTCCAGGATGTGAACATCTTCATCCCTGAAAGAGTGACCGCTGGCCTGGAGATGAGTGTAGACCGCAGAGTCCTGGCCTGATGATGTTGATCTTCTGTGCTGGTCCATCCTTTTGGCCAGTGGCTGTTTAGTTTCCCCGATGTAAGACTGGCTGTGATCAGTTTTACATCGAACTGAAGACGCCATCTCCTCTGTGGTCCACACTCCTCTCAACCACCACGATCTTTGTGGACTTCACATCTGCCTTCAACACCATGATCCCCCAAACCCTGATGGACAAACTACTCACACTAGGACTAAGCCCCTCCATCTGCAACTGGGTCCGGGACTTCTTAACAAACAGACCACAGTCTGTGAGGATCCACAACTTTTCCTCCTCCACCATAACACAGTACTGGGTGTCCTCAGGGATGTGTGCTGAGCCCTCTCATCTTCACTCTGCTAATGTATGATTATGCAGCTACCCATCCAGAAAAAGCGTTCAATACAAAAACAACTGGACTTTATTTGTAACAGAAGACGTTTCGCTCCTCATCCGAGGAACTTTCTCAATTCAAAGAGCAGAGAGTGAGAGATACAGGTTATAAGGCTGAGTGAGATAAGACACACACATAGACTGGTAATTCACACCTAAACAACATTAACAGTAAGAGTCTTTAAGCGAAACGTCTTCTGTTACAAATAAAGTCCAGTTGTTTTTATATTGAACTTTGAATTCATCATGTCCTGGATGACTGAGCATCTTCACCAGCATGTTGCTAAGACTTCCCTCTCCCCAGCCTCTTGGACCAGCTCCTCTGGGGGAGTTCCAAGGCGTTCCCTGGCCAGCTGAGAAACACAGTCCCTCCATCGTGTCCTGGATTATCCTCTGGGTCTCAGAGGAAGAAATATTTATTTTAAAATATATATTTAAAAAAATATTTAGAATTATTTATTTTGGTATTTATGTATTTTTAACATTTTTTTAAACATTATTTTACATTTTTAATATTTATTTTAATATTTATGGTTTAATATGTATTGTTTACTATTAATTGTTTAATTGTTAATTGTTTAATTGTTTGTTTTAATATTTATTTTTAATATTTTTCTGTTGACCATTCAGACGACGTGGACGGCCTGTCTCAGGATCTGTTTGGTCCAGGAAGTCCGGCGTCCTGTGCAGGTCTTCAACTGGACTGTGGCTCAGAAACTCCTGACCTACTGCTGCAGGGTCCTGCCGTACCCCCTTCCAGTCCCTGCAGCAGTCCTAGGGAGGTGGCGCTGCGTCCCCACGTGCACTTCCTGCGCTCGCTGTGCACCCTACATCGTGTCGAGGGCAGTGGAGGCGCAGAGGCTCCGTTCTTCAGCCCTGACGGGCCCTCGGGCTCAGTGCTGGCCGACACAGTGTGCCACCTCCTCCAGTGCGTGGTGGAGGCCTGCGGAGACCCCCCGGCGCCGGGCTTACCACCCGACCTGGTGCTGCAGGCCTGCCAGGTGGTGGCCTGGGCCTTGGAGCTCCTCTGCTCTCCGAGGCAGCCGTGTGTGGAGTTCAGGAGACGTGTGGAGGAGGTGCTGAAGAAGCTGACTCAGATGCTGCTCCTCAACAAACAGCCTGGCAGGGTGAGTACCGACAGCCATGTTGGCACACATCAAGGCTTTCATTATGAGCACGGCTGTGGTGCCACCTGTGCTGGGACTCTGGGATACTGATAAAATCATCATAATGGGTGATTTCAATGTTCATGTAGATGTTAAGTGATAGCTTACGCATAGCCTTTAATAATTTAATAGACAATTGATTTTACCCAAAACATTTGCACATCTACTCACTCATCATCACACTCTTGACCTGGTTCTGACCTTTGGCATTGAGATTAATAACTTAGTAATAGTTCCTCAAAGTCCTGGTCTGTCCGACCATTTTTTAATAACCTTTGAGTTCACATTAAATGACTGCACAGTCACTGAGAGTAAATTTCATCTCAGCAGGTGCTCATCAGAAAATGCTGTAACCAAATTTAAACATTATTTTCCATTGGTTTCTTCTGTCTTGCAGAGCAATGCATCAGAAAGCAGTGACTTAGATAGTTAATAATTTTAAAACTACTTTGCAAACTTCACTCGATAAAGCTGCTCCGCTGAAAAAGAAAGTAATCGATCAGAGGAGATGAGCTTAATTTAGGTTCAATTCTGAGTTACGTATTTTAAAACAGACATCTAGAAAGCTGGAAAGAAAATGGCGTGCCACTAACATAGAGGAATCTTACTTATCCTGGAGAGATAGCCTGCTATTGTACAAAAAAGCACTCCATAAAGCTAGAACTTTATATTATTCATCTTTAATTGATGAGAGTAAAAATAACTCCAGGTTCCTTTTCAGCACCATAGTTAGTCTAATAAAAAATCCTCTCTCTGTTGATTCATGTGTCCCTACAACTGTAAGCAGTGATGACTTCTTGAGATTATTTATAAATAAAATTGTTTCAATTAGGTAAACAATTCAAACCAACATTCCTACTATCGCCTCTGGTTCTGTGTCAGATGAGACAACTTTAAAAATGTCACTAGAACCTGATTTATGTTTGGACAGTTTTTGTCCTGTTCAGCTCTGAATTGTCAAAAACAATAACCTCATCCAAACCATCCACATGCCTGCTAGATCCCATCCCAACCAGACTGTTTAAAGAGGTATTTCCCCTAATTAATAACCATGTCTCGGATCTGCTTAATTTTTCTTTAATAAATGGTTACGTACCACAGAGCTTTAAGGTTGCTGTAATTAAACCTTTACTTAAGAAACATAACCTTGACTCAGGAATCCTAGACAATTATAGACCTATATCTAATCTAACTTTCATCTAAAATATTCTATTTTATTTATTTTATTTATTTTATTATTTCTATAGCACTTTACACAACCATGGTGATGGTGACCAAAGTGCTTAACAAAAAACAGTACTTAAAATCTAGAAAAAATAGTTGCAGGTAGGGCTGCAACTAACGATTATTTCAATAATCGATTCATCGGCCGATTATTTTTCTCGATTAATTGATGAATCGGCAAAAAACAACAACAATGTTTTCATTTCCACCCCTTTATTCCAAAATTGAACATTTGACTGACATAGCAATTCACCAAGAAACAGGTTGCTATTTGACTGTTCTGTTAGTAAAATATTGAATAATAAAAAATAAAAGTTAGTCTTGTAGCTTAAAAAAATAAATGTACACAAAAATATATACAAATGTTTCTTTATACCTGCACAATATGTAGCTACTTTGTAAACTGTGTCCTTGAGGGAAGAGTGTAACCTGGATTAAAAGTGTGGATTATTGTAACCTGGATTAAAAGT